AAAAGATGAAAAGGAGAGAGGATTAAGAGATTTTGAGGTCCTTGTATAATTTAAGGAAGCCGGTGGGTTTTTATGAGGTACCTTGATTGCAAGTAGTCAAGAATGCTAATTTGTGAGGGACAACTAGGGCGCAGTCACGTTTTGAGTTCTAAATCCAAATTTGGGCATCCCTTGAATACAACACATCCCGTCGACCGTATTGCGCCTTAGTTTTTCCCAATTTTTAAATTGCCTAAGAGAAAATTACAATGATCACCCTATTTGATAGTAGGCACATGACTGGATTTTCCCCTTTCTTCCTTTTTTTTTTTTTTTTTTTTTGCTTGCATAAAACGAGAGCAAAGAAGTGCCTATGTGGATTTGAGTGGTTTAGGACGAGTGTAAATACCAATGATTTGTATGTTTTTTTAGGGGGGAAAAAAATCTTTGCAAAGCAAAAAAAAAAATTATTGCACTTCCAAAGGACGGATTCATAATTAAGCATCCATGAGAGGAAGAAAAAAGTTCAGCGATAGTTTATTGAAAAGGTTGAGGTGTAGGAGTATGAGAGTTTGAAAGGACTTTACCTAAAAATTGAATCAGAAATGTTCTTAATTGTTGAAAAGAAATAGCAAAGACAAATCACTGCAGTTTTAAAAGTTGTCATCCTTGCGCCGTTTCCGTATGCCTTCTTATCCGATTGGATTAGTTATTACTACTTACATCCTGCCTCCTCTTTTCCTCTCTCTCCTTCTTCTCTTTCTCCTTCCATTCCTTCCCAACAAAATTCAGTTTTACGAATTCCTACTAGTGTCAGCGTTATATCGGACTCGGTATCCTGGAAAGTTAGGTGCCTTCCTAACTAAATTTGAATTCGAAAGAACCTCCCTTATTCGAATCGGTTAGCAGAGGGTTCCTAGGACATGTCCGGGTACCTGTCTCCGAACATGGGAGAATCAAGTCCTAATGATGGCGACCCGGGGTGATTCGGGGCTGATTCTCTTCGCCGTGATTCCTCTTTTGTCGGCGAACCTTGTGGTAACAAAGGAATAAAAGCAGGCCTTCTACTCGGAGTCGGTCTAGATTCCACTGAGTTCCAAGTCACCGCTAATCTTAGGCTTTCACCCTCTCCTTCTGAAAAAATGTCACAAAAGTCCCTCCCGATCCTCTTGCATCCGAGGCCCTTTATCCATGCTCCTTCCCCAAGCTCGAAAAGAGATTCAAGTTGGAGTCTTGATCGCTCATCGGGATCTGCTTCGCGCAAAATCCTTGCGACGAGCATCCTCGAGAGGGATGCCCCGAACCCTTCCCATTCCGAGGGTTCAAAGCCCCTGAGAAGTCTTACGACCAATTCCCTCCTAGTACCTCCTGCCAAAGCAAGAACGATCCCTGTTGCGAGTAAGCCCCACCTTCCTCTCCCCTCCCATCCGTTTGCGTCCACCTCACAAACTCTCTTCACGACCGAGAGTTCACCGTTGCCCAATTTGTCGATGTTCTTTCCAAACGCTCTGGCAGTGATAAATCCCGCGAGTAACTCTCCCAAGATCCAATGATTCATCATACGTTCCATTACCCTCTTCTCCATCACCCAGATCTTGCCTTTCTTGCTGATAAGTTCGTGTGTGTAGAAGCATTTGCGTTTAAAGAATTCGAAAAGGATAGCCAAACCCAACTCCGGTTCGAGCCTGTGCTGCCTTCCGAAGCTGGCTCGGAGTTTCTCCTTGCTCCAGTTTTGAAAGAGGTTGCTTCTTTCGAAGGTTGTCACCGTACCCTTGCCGCAGTCCAGGATTCTGCAGTTTGCGAAAGCAATGTCAAACGACAGATTCGATTCCTGCCTATCGCCTGCCCAAACTAAGTTTTTGAGATCCTTGATTAGAACTCCTTCCGCCTCCTCTTCATCGATGTCAACTTTAGACTTAGGTACTACGGTTGTCCAATCTCCTTCCCCTCCCCCTACTACAAATACTACCCTCGTCATCATGACTGGAAAAGAAGAGAGGGTAAGTCTAAAGTAGATAAAGAGTTGCGAGAGTGGTAGAGGATCGTGGAGAGAAGCAAAATCCGGGTAGACTTGAGTCTGATTGGTTCAAACTTCGGGTGATCACCCCTTCCTTCTTAGGGCCTAGAGCTGGGTAGAACGTAATCCTTTTTCTCTTTACCTTGCGAATCTAGGTTGGATAGCGCTAGTGGATTGCCATTCTCCTTCCTCTGGCACTGCTTCAATTCTCGATTCTCACTCCTACGATCCTCAACTTGCGCACCTATCTCCCTTCGAAGTTGGGGTCCTTACCTCTGTATTGTTAGCAATCTTCTTGTTGCGTCTCTGTCCACTTCCTGAAGCTCCCATCATTACTCAAATTGAAGACTCGACCAAGAAAATTAGCAACCTCCTCCTAGGTGTCCCCAAATCAGGCAAAAGATCTATTCCGACCTAGCGTTGTTCCTTACCAGCAAATTCTTCTCTTTGCTGCCGCTGGAGGCTCAGCCTTTAGTCTGAAATTGGTGCCGTAATCCGAGCATTTTCGACTACGCTAATCTCTAATTAATCTTGCTCACTTCATCGGAATTTACTTCATTATATCAGATGAGCAAAATCAACTCCCTATTCTTGTCCGCTCTTTCGTTACTCCAAAGAGGGAACGATTCGACCGAAATTCAGACTTTTAGGGAGGACGAGAAAAAGAAGTGGGGCGGATATCAAAGACCAATTCTCAGCGATCGAACATTCCACATTATCAAGTCCTGTCGAAACCTCTTAATATATACGCAAATGCCCCAAAAGCGCACAGAGGAATCCTTGGAGAGTTTTGAAAGATCACACCGATCGAGTCAGGCCCGCTCTACTCAAGAGTGAAGGTTGTTCCAAAGTTCGTGGCAGCGAATTGAAATACGAAGTTGGTCAGTGCTGTCATGCTGGTAATCGGTGGCGGGAAACTTCCGTAGAGATCAAAATTCAAATCCCCTATTCACCCTTCATCATTACCTCAACAAGACCCAACTAGCAAGAGAAACGAATTGCGCGTCCGATTATGAACTCGTATTTGCGGACAGGTTTACCCTGATTTCTTATCTCACACCATTGCCTAAATCGAAGCTTTCTTACCAATTCCGACCAGTCCTACTCTTCCCTCAACAACACCCCTTGCAGATTAAACCAATCTCAACTTTTTCTTCGAAGCGCAAACCCACTCTCGGACTCAAGCATAATCTCGACAATCTTTTTATTACTCAAGCCCGAGGAGTAGAACTCCTTTTGTCCCTCCGGCTCCTTCTTCCTCTTAGCGCGCGCTCAATATTTCACGCCTTTCCTCGTTTCAACGCCCTACTACTCCCATCAATAATCCATGTTCATCACGATTGAATTCTTCTCTAAAAATCCCTCGTCCTACCATTGGCTCACCCCTCATTAGCCCGAGCCCATCGCCTCTCGCCCTTACCTTCACCTAGACTTTTACCTTCTTCCTGTGCACACTCCTTAAGATAAAACTCCGCCCCTCCGAAGCGATCACCCCTTCTTAAGTCCGCACACTACTCTCCTCGTACCGCGAATCCGATAGCTCGCCCTCCTCTCCCTCGAAGTTCCTACCTTCCGCTTCCAGCGATGGCAGCTACAGCGGAGTACCACTCCCTCCAAAGAGCAACCCTACCCTCGTCGCCTCGTCCTTCCTTCTAGCGCGAACTAGCGCCTTTGCGGTCGGCCGAAGCCGGCCGCTGAGAGTTCTACTCGAAAGACCCAACAGATATCTTATCGCTTAGTTTATAGCTCTATCCGTCCGCTTAAGTCATTCGCAACTTCCCGCCGTACCCCTACACAAAACTACTCGGCCTTCCGGTTTTCTAACTAAATGAACCTGGCTTATTTTACCGCCTGTCAGCGGCACCTGATTCCTCCCATTATTCCTACGTTAAGTTTTCGGCCCACGGGCGCTGCCCGCCTCATTCAATCTACTTGTTACGTCGCGCCCTGCAGAATTACGAGTACATTTTCTGTGAGTCCGAATCCGAGTGCCACCGCCCGCAGAGCATAATCAATGCTCCGAGTAAGAGGAATAACTCGTCGACACCTAACTTTAAATAGTAAATCGACCTAAGCCCAACTCAACGTTCCCGCCCAGGGTGTTTCCCTCCCTTCCCAACCCATTCCCTTGGTTCCCCTCTGATTCGAGTACTTACCTCAGCCCCGAAAAGTAACGTTTTTCCTCGTAAACCTCTGAGTGAAAACTCACAGCTTGTCGCTCACGGTGTAGGAACGGGCCACTCGGCCCGGCGTGTGCGGCAAGCGGCGAAGTGGAAAAACAAAGTGTAATGCCTAATCTAGGCTACTATCCATATATAGCAAAGAGTACTCATCATGGAGCGGTGCCATCTGAGTTAGCCCCACTTCTGGGCCCCATTCAAGAGCTAAGGTGAGGTTCCAAATCTGAACTGCAGACTGAAGTAGATGTTGCCGCCAAGAACCTTCGTCCAATCAGAGACTCTGCTCTATGCCCCTTAGGGCATACTCACACGACGAACCCAAAGCTGCAAAATATGCGGGTTTGGGAAGGGTAGATTTGAGGTTTTGGGCATGGTTCGTGTCACACTGCTGTACCTTTTCAGATGGGACAAGGTCGCGGCCGTCTGGAGAAATGGGGATTTGGTACTTGGCTGGTCACACGACACCATCCACCAATTGTGCAAGAACTTTTCTGAACGAAATTTTGTCAATTTTTGAAGAAAATGCGAAAAACAAAAAGGGAATTTTGCGGTCACCTCCCTTGCCGCGCGGCTTCCCAGGCCGCTGACAAATGGGCACTGGAATAGTACATTTGCGAATTTGGTAGATCCGTGTGACCCGCCTTTTCCCCTTTTTTTTGTGATTTTGGGATTATAGGTCCCCGTGTGAGTATGCCCTCAAGGTCAGCCGGTAGCATCGATGGGCCAGGTACTCACAAGTTGTTCAAGAAAGAACAAAACCAAAACACAGACCAAAAAAGACACGGGCCAATGGGGCAATTGACTCGACGGTGATGCAGGAATAAAAGAGAGTTCAGAAGCCTTGCACGTCAATCCTGGTCGTAGCTGGTAGATGAGGCGAAAGCGTTATTTCGTGGTGAGGTACGTGGGAGCTCACCCTATTCCCGGTTCTCTCCTTGTCGCTCCCTCCTTTTCCTATTCCTAGTCTTCGGCTTCATAGCCACTACTACCTTCTTTCGTATTCTCTCTCCCCCATCTCTTCCCGCCTTTCTGCCGCTTCTGGTATTCGACTTGCTTGTCTGCGTCGAGTGCGAGACAGATCTCGTCCTTCTTTCCTGTTCTCCCCCATCTCTTCCCGCGTTTCTCCTGCTTCTGGTGCCCTTCTGGTTTGTCTTCCTCATCTTGCAGTGTTTCACCCATTCATTGACTCACTGAGTGCGAGACAGATATCGTCCTTCTTTCGTATTCTTCCCCATCTCTTCCCGCCTTTCTCCTGCTTCTGGTGTCTTTTTCTGGCATGTCTGCCCCAGTGCCCCATCTTCCAGTGTTTAACCCACTCGTTGACTCCCTGAGCGCGAGAGAGATGTCGTCGTAGAATTTAGCACTGTCACGGAAGCTTCTTCCCGGTTTCCAATTCCCTCCTACCACTCCTCCGGCTCTCTCTTTCCCATTCGTCACTCTCTTTTACCAGACTCGCGCGGCCTCCCCGCACTCCATCTTACCGTCGGGCGTTTCCATTTCGCTGCCAAGGTAAGTGTTCGTGACGCCGGTACCGAAGTTGATGATCTTGTCATGTTGATGGTCATGACGAATCTGCTTTTGCACCTGAATCTGGTTCTCTCTTCCCGCGTTTTTCATCAAGTTTTCGTTTTGTACGGAGTGGCGGTACTCACCTGCTCATTGACTCGCTGAGCGCTAGACTGGGAGGTGGTCGTGTTCAATCGAGCATTGTTGCGTGGGCAGAAGTCGTGAGGCCGCATTTTCATCCGGTCGAAGGAGAGCAGATTGCCCGACGGTTTCCAGACAGTACGTCCCATGAAAGCTCAGGTTTCCGGTTGCGAGTTTTCTCTCCACACTCCCCGTGTCTCTCTTCGCCGCATTTTCATCGGGTCGAAGGAGAGCAGATTGCCCACCTATCTTCGTCGATGTTTTACTGTAGTGGCGGGGGGCGTCCCCCTACGCCAGCTTCTCTGTGACTGCTTCAGAAGCGATGTCAAGGTGATTGTCTGGGTGACGTTGGTGCCCAGGTTAATGATGGTCATGGTGCTGACGATCGAATCTGCCCTGCACCTGAAGCTTGTGAACCCTTAAGTGCCTGGTCAACGTTTGCATCGCACTCTTTTGTCGATACTTGTTGTTTTGTGCAGTTTTGAAAATCTCACGGTTTAACTCTAGTTTGCATCCACCTCCCCGCGAATGGTGAGGATGAAAAATGCTCTGATCTGGTTGTGGGAATATTCTCAGCGCTGCGGCCGGCTACTGTAGTGGTGTGACGCGGTTTGTTCAGCCGGGCTCGCGTACATAACGTCGATATCTGCAGTTGTTGTTTTTCGCCGTGCTTTATCCATAGCCGTTCCGTCCCCGTCTTTGTTCTCTAGGGTATTTTCTGCTTTGTGGAGATGGCGGCTCTCAACGTGGAGCACTTGCCTTTCCGCCGCCATCTTTGTTTTCTAGGGTCGTTTCTGCTTTGTCGAGATGGCGGGTGTCAGCGGGGGCGGGGTCGAACTTGCATCTATTTATGTTTTTTTTGTTGCATTTATTTGCGCTTAGTATGTTAGCGGTACCAAACGGCCGAACTTAGGGCGGCCAAAACCGAAAAGGTTTTGGCGTGGGCTCTTTCTACCAATTATCCCCTGTAGATTTCAATGTGCGCATAAGCTTGACTCGAAGCGTTTTTCAAGTGCCGACGTTCTCTGTTCGACGGCCTGTAGCTGGGCGGTGGACGAGTTTGGCAAGTCGGAGCGATCAGGGCGGGCGGGCGCCCGAACATGCGTTTATTTCCAATTCTCCACCCACTATGTTAGCGCATTACTCGAAGAGTGTTTTCACGTAGCGGCTGGAATTCTATCTATGTCCAGTATGAGCGACTGATGGAGGTAATTATACTGCCCACAACGAGGGAGGCGAGGGCTTCTGTATCGGACTCTCTCAGGCTCGTAGCTTTCGAGCAGCGATTGCTGACGCGGAGGCAAATTTTGATTCGATATTAGCTCTCTCTCTCTCTCTCTCTCTCTCTCTCTCTCTCTCTCTCTCTCTCTCTCGGCACGTTGCATTCTCGTGCCGTCATTTTCGATATCGTCCTGCCTTGGAAAGTAATTTGAGAATTTTTCTGGAGTTCACACGTTTCGAGAGCCGAGATGACGTGACGGAAGATGGGATTATGTTTTCATTGGTTATGGATTGTTTCTTTGGGAAAGTGCTCGTTATGTGATGATCTTGGCAAAATGGTAATTGGGTTACCTCTCTTGCTATTTAATGAAAGCAGCAGTCCTTGTTTTCCATTAAAAAAACAAAGTTCCGATCTGTCATCATGACCACGACCAGAGATGATTGCCGTGAGTCGCTGTGATCTCCTCGTTATTGAAAAAAATATTTTTGGTGTTTTATTTCTGTATGCTGCTCATAACCTGTCTCATGTCTTAGAGAAGTCGTAGTGACCAAGCGGTGGGGTTGGGTAAGTCGTTCAGTCAGGACCCCATCACGTGTGTGGAAGCTCTCATTTTCGAAGTTGACCGCGATCGTGATGCTTACTTGTCGCGTTGCTTGTTACGATGGTTGTTTGTTTCTCCTGTTACTGCAGGGCTGCACGCTTGGAAATTTGGAGTCCTCGCCAAAACCGTTGAATCGAACCCAGTGTCGCAAACATGGGTCGGGTTTCTGCGGCCTTGGCCGTTGCAAGCGTGGTCCTCCTGGCTAGCGCGCTTCTGGCAGACGTTGCTGATGCGACGAGATGCAAGGCTTGCAAGGAGGATCTCTGCGCCCCGGGAACGAAGCAGTGCACTCCCCACGGTCCGTGCATGAAGTGCTGCCATGATGGCTGTTGCGGCAGCGGGAAGAAGTGCGTCCAGGGAGAGTGCAAGCCGTCGTGCGGCTGCCCGCCTGGACTCAAGCAATGCACTCCCCACGGTCCGTG